TGAGGATTCCAGCCATTTCACACACAGGTTTTTAAACCTTTTTATCAAATATGGTAAATAATTCCTAAATTTCTAGTACAAGCAGTGTTACCATACACGGTAACCTCAATCATAATTTCGCCCCACATGATGATGCGTTAATACTAAAATTTAAATTGAGATAAGCCAACATATCATAGCGGACCAATCTTAATCCGTAAATACCAAGAGATGCGAATTTATCACTTTAGGACCACCACTATTCGTCCTAAAATCTCCAACAATCGCATGAATCAATCAACCATTCAAGTCCCAAACACGCGAAAAACACAATCGTCCAGACTTTGCTATATAACCTAAAACAGAAAACTAACAACACCAAAATGTCAAAAAAAATGTCAGGAATAAATTGCCTAAAGAGACCTCCGTCGGAAGAAGCCGCACGCGCCCTCACACATGTGGTTGTCACGCTCCTCCGCCTCGCACTGTCAATGATCTCACATGCTGGCCACCTAGAAGCGCCTCCACTTGCACGTCACGTCGGTGGCCTCCGTTTCACCAAATTCCTTCTGGATCGGTCGGAAATCACAAAAACTACCCTGGATTTTAGGCTGTTTTCTGGACAGTTTTACGATATGTTTTTTTACTTTGTTTTAGCCAATTTTCGGGTCTTTTTTTGGCCAATTTTTGAGCCAAATCTACCATATTGAAATTCTGATACCAATTGTCGCGAAAGCTTGCTCCAAGGATCGTCAAAACGGTATTTTTCATGCTCAATTTCACGTTACCTTTTTTTACCAAACAACCAATCGGAACGACTTCAACCTACAACCAATATATTCGTCTCAGTTGCTCCTCAATTTCACCCACAAATGACAAGATAATGATTTGTAAGCCACAAAGACACGAGAAAAACAATGGAAGAAACACGAGAAATAGACAAAAAAATTGAAGGAAACAAGTGTCAGTTTTTAAAACTCAAAGCAACCATTTTTCCCTCCAATTTTGCAATCACGCATTTCTCTTTCACAACACAAATCACCTACAAAGCGGCTAGGGCAAAGACACCATATATATATATATGATAGGTTAGGCTTTCGTTGGACCAATAAAAGATGTTAAATGAGTCAAGATTTAAAGTCATCCAAGAGATAATATATATGTGTCATAAGAAACATTAATTATTTAAATTACTTCCAATGGCCCACATTGTTTTCGGGTTGAGCACTTGGACTTGGTTGTTAGTAACAATTTAATCTAACGTTTACATTATCGTTCGAGATTCACTGGGTATCAAAAAACCCAACAGTTACTACCTACCTTCGTTGAAAGTCCATGTGGCATCTACATGTTTAAAAAATGTCACCTCACTCACGTCATTACGCCCATGTTTGGTGGCCTTTAATTTTAAAAACTATGTTTTAAATAGTATTTTTTTAAGAACGTGTTGTTAGAGAATAAGAAAAAAATTTAGTTTTATATAGAAAATTTTATTGTATGAACTTATATTTAAAAATGAGTATGAAAAATAAATTAAATTAAAGTAAAAGAATAAACAATAGCCATTTCAACTATGTAGTTTCTTGGATATATAAAAGAAATTCTTGGAAGTGTATCGAGACATAAATCAATTAGAAAGCTTTTCATATATCATATCAAATTATCAATAGTCTTATGTAAATAATATTTGATATTATATTCACATCAAAGTTTTTCTGTTAAAATTTGAACAATTTGATTAGTTGCACGTGGACTCATGCAAACCC